ACAAATAAAATTAATTAAAGCCCAGCTGCTGAAAGTAAGATGGGTGAGGACTGGTGGCCACCTACTCAGCATCCCCTGGTCCCCCATCACCACTCCTACTTGCCCCTTGAGTGAGTGAGCTTCCTGCAGCCCCTTGGTGCTTTGTCAAATACAGCTTAAAATCCATCTATGTAGCCCATTACTTCTCCAGTATGGTGCCTGGACGAGAAGCCATAGTTTTGCCTGCAGACTTGTTAGAAATGAAGATTCTCAGGCCCCACCCCAGACCTGTTGAATCAGAACTCTGGGTGTGGGCCCAGCAATCTATGCTTAGGTCCTCCAGATGACTCTGATGCAAGCTACAGGTTGAGAAGCTCTGGGATAGTACAACCTCCTTGCTTTACATATGAGGAACTAAGGCCCAGAAAGGGGTGTGTTTACCCAAGGTCTCAGAAAGCGTTATTATTGTCAGGCTTTGTTTCAAGGCCAGATCACCTGTCTGTAAGAGTCTATGTGTGAAGTGTGGAGTGTTCCTGCCCTGGTTCTCCTGCTTCCCTCGGACTGGCGTGAACACTTAGCAGGCTAGGTTGGAACCCTTTTCAGGCAGAAAGTCTCTGCATTGAGTGATGGCCACTGAAGGCAGCCCCTGGCCTGTACATGAGGAGGGTAGTGTATAAGGGCCCCACTGAAGGCAGAGACTTAGGGTGTAGCTGGTACGTCTAAACAGTTTTCATGGAAGAAACAGATTCCAGAAGATAAGACCTGAGGAAACAGCAGTGTGTGAGTGCAGACCTGTGTGAGGGAGTGGGGAAGGCAAGCTAGGCATTGAGGAGGAGATCTCAGAGGGCCTAGGCTGGCAGGGTGACATAGGCTGGGGGGTGGGTGGGTAGGTAAAGGAGTGCAAGTACTCAGTGCACTAGCCCTGCTACTAGTTCTCCAGAAACCTGGGACTTCTCCAATGAATTAGGGTGCATTTAACATCTCCAGGTAATTAGCTGCTGCCTGCTACCTATGAAGGAGAGGAAGTCTGGAGCCAGGCAGCTTTGAAAGGCCTTGTTGCTCCTTGACAAACCGGTCTGGGGAGGTTTCAAAGACAACTTCTGAGCAACCCGCATGTTTCATGTTCATTAGATCCTCACTTCCCAGTCTCCAAAGACAAACAGAGGAATTTAAGCGTTTTCTTCCTTCTTTGGAGACATTTCATTCTGAGCTGTGAGCTTTCAGCTGGGGAGGAGGCAGAGCTGGCTGAGCTCCTTGTTCCTCCAAATCCACAGCCCAAGCAGAGCCTGGCTCCATCCTCTCGGCACACTGGAAACTGTCCAGGGCCCCCCAGAAGCTCTGCACCAACTCCCTCCCCCAAGGCTAGTTGAGTAAGTGCCCATGGTTGGCTGGGGGTGGGCATTGGGAGGTTCAGTCCAGGTACTGCTGGACTTTAAGCTCAGTGAGGACAGGACCTAGAATTATTCTTTGTTCTTATCTCTCTGGCATCTAACTGCTCAATAAATGCTTATAGAATGAGTGAATGAAAGACTGAATGAGTATGCTAGTATTTGCCTGTTGCTCCCAGATCTATGTCCTGCCTTCCTCTGCCCTGTTTTGTGGCATTTGGAACTACATTTCCCAGGCTCCCTTGCCTACAGGCTTCTGGATATGTTCAGCTAATCAGAGTAATAGGAAGAAGGTAAAGTGTGGGAAGATGGGGAAACCCGGGATATTTCTTCCTCTCTCTATTTCCAGCCAGGTTTCTGCAGCCCCT